CGGCCGTTGGAGTTGGACACCGACGGTATTTGGTGTATTCTTCCCGCTACGTTCCCCGAGAACTTTGCATTTATGCTTCAAGGTGGGAGGAAATTACCAATCTCATATCCTTGTGTCATGTTGAATCATCTTGTCCATGCAAAATTCACAAATCATCAGTATCAGGAGTTGGTCGATCCTGTAACACATCGATATGAGACGCATAGCGAAAATACCATTTTTTTCGAGGTCGATGGTCCCTACAAAGCTATGATTCTTCCCACTTCCAAGGAAGAGGACAAGAACTTGAAGAAAAGATACGCGGTCTTCAACCATGATGGCACTTTGGCAGAGTTGAAGGGGTTTGAGATCAAGCGTAGAGGAGAGCTCAAACTCATCAAGATCTTTCAAGGCCAGATCTTCAAGTTCTTCCTCGAGGGGAAAACGCTCCAGGAATGCTACGGAGCTGTGGCCAGAATTTCCAACCAATGGCTAGATGTTCTATACAGCCACGGAAGTACGCTGTCTAATGAGGAGCTTATCGACTTGATTTCAGAAAATAGAAGCATGACAAAGACTCTTGAGGAATATGGAGCTCAGAAATCCACTTCTATTACAACCGCGAGGCGTCTTGCAGAGTTCTTGGGAGAGCAGATGGTGAAGGACAAGGGCTTGAACTGTAGATATGTCATCTCTTCCAGACCTAAGGATGCCCCTATCACCGAGAGGGCTATACCAGTGGCCATATTCTCAGCAGACCCATCCATCAAAGCTCATTTCCTGAGAAAATGGTTAAAAGATGATCCTGGTGAAGTTGTGGATCCGAGAAGTATCATTGATTGGGATTACTACCTGGAGCGTCTTGGGTCTGTCATTCAAAAACTGATCACCATTCCTGCAGCATTGCAGAAGGTCAGGAATCCAGTACCTAGGATAGTGCATCCTGATTGGTTACAGAGGAGAATCAATATCAAGGACGATAAGTTTAAACAGAAAAAGATGACGGATCTATTCAAGAAGTCTAATGGCCCGCAGCATGATACAAGAAATAAGCCAATAATGGATCTGGAAGATTTTGGAACCAAACCGGCTGGCAGCCTTACCCTGGCCGGCAACAAGAGGAAGGCTATGGAACCCTCAGTCTCGGATGACCCTTTTGCGTCCCTACCTGTGATAATGCCTTCTATGACTGAGGACTATAAAGGATGGTTGAAGTACCAGAAGCAAAAGTGGAAACTCCAGAAACACGCACGGGCGCGTCGACGGCAGTTATTTGGCGAAAAGAGAGATACCCATGGGGACGCAATTGGAAGCTTTTTCCGGAACCAGGCTGAAATGTTGTTCTCAACGACATGGCAGATTTTGGGACTTCAGGAGACGAATTCTGCGGGAGAGGTCAGGGCTTGGGTTCTCATTGACAAGAAGATATATAACCTTAGGATCAAGGTTCCTAGGGAGATATATATGAACTTGAAGGGTAAAGAGCTTCCGGATGTGGATGTCAAGGGGTGCTCGGCAGAGAAGGTCACACATACTCTGCCAAATGGACATCCTTCAGTGCACTTATTCAAGCTGACAATGCCCGAACATGTCTACATCTCGGAAGGGAAGAAGTTTAGTGCGTTATTGTGCCACCCTAGTGTCGAAGGTGTATACGAGACGCAAGTCCCCCTTAGCGTGCGAGCACTGCTTAACCTGGGCTATTCTTGCACCTACGATGAAAGCCGGAAGGGCGTTCTTGGGAAAGGTCTTGAGCAGGGTTTCGACCTGTCCGCTTTACGAAAGATCCCGCTGACAAAACCATATCTGGCTGGGGCATCAATGGAGTACCTCTTTTTGTACCACATTGTCTCTGGAGAGCGGCAGATTGTTGCTCTCTTTTCAACCCTACATAACGAGGCCTTTGTTCAGATCCTAGGAAACTCGAGAGATATGGCTAACCTTCCGGCTGTGGACAAAGTATATCTGGAACAGCTAGCGAGGAGATTGAAGGCCAGCAACGGCCAACCATGGCAGAATTCGATCAAATACCAAGAAGCCTTGAAATTCAAGGTGGAGCATGCTACTACAAAGAAGAAGCTATACAAGGCATTGGCGGACCTGATCAAGCAGCTTAAACCTACAGAGAGCAAGGTGATGATGCTAGTGGTACAGTCTCCCCAGCGAAGAGCACTGATACAGGCTCTCCCTGCGCTCAATGAGTTCCCCATCATTCCTCTGCGGTCTGATGCATCAGACAGCAACTTACCCCCACTCGGATGGCAGTCATTCGTAGCCAAGAGAGTTGTAACCCACTACTTGGCCCTGGGTTCGTGGGTATCTCATCTCCTGGAGCTCGCACGATATGGAGATGTCCCAATCTGTAATCTGGAAAGAGATGACCCAAAATACCTTATAGATATCGCCTATGCAAGGCGTTTACAGAGGAACAATATTGTCTTATGGTGGTCTTCTGCACCTAGCCCTGATCATGGCGGCCATGAGAAAGACGATATCCTCGGTTCCTTCGAATCAGTCGAGATGCCTGCCATTAATAATGCCGGGAGTTTCTCCAGTATTTGTGTTGACATTGAGGTTCGAAATCTAGTTATCAATACTATCCTTACTAGCTCACTCATTAATGAGCTAGAGGGGAGCGATAGTATCTTGTTGAATCCTGCTGCTTCGAGCTCGGATGAAACTGGGGATGGAAACGGGATGAATGTCATATTCTCAGATACGGCATTTGCCACTGTTGGCGTGACAGTTCTTCGTGAAATGGTGCGGGCGTGGTGGACCGAGGCATGTGCGGGGAATAATATGGCGGATATTATGGTGCAGCATCTCGTTCGGTGGGTTGAATCGAAGGACAGCTTCCTGTACGACAGAGTGCTACACTACTATGTGCAGATGATGTCTAAGAAGGCGTTCCAGCAGCTCATGACGGATTTTAGAAGGGTAGGGTCTAATGTTGTCTATGCGAGCGCAAATCGGTTAATATTGCAGACGAGTAAGGTCGATGTGGGAAATGCTTATGCGTATGCAAAATATATTGTCAAAGCAATCAAAGCTAAACCATTGTTTAGCTTCTTGGATCTGGAGGTGAAGGAGTATTGGGATTATCTGCTGTGGTTTGATGAAGTGAATTATGGCGGGAAGGCGACAACGGAGGCGGAGATGGAGGCGGAAGCTGCAGCGGGGGGACAGGGGAGGAAGGAGTTGGGGACGATCATGCATTGGCAGATGGGAAGATTTCTGCCCCCAGTATGCAGAAGCGTCTTTGATGAGTGGGTGATTGAGTTTGTCGAGATGATGTATGGGATTAAGCACGTCAGTAACAGCGCTAATACTGACGGGGTTGTCCCGAGGCTCACCCAACTGCCCGCGAGGAAGATTGGTGACGACGCAGCAGATGGAAAGGACAAGAAGACACCTACAATTTTGACGAAGGAGTTCACAAAGCCGTTGAGAAAACAGGTCGCGCAGATACTACGAAGACAAAAGGACGCAATGCTCAACCCCCAACTGTCTGCATTCGCGGAGGAGTTCGAGTTCCCCCCCCTCCCTGGAACTGTAAAGCAACTCACAAATCCATCCCTACAACTAGTCAAGTCCCTCATCGCGGTATTCTCCCTCGCGAAAGAAATATCTATCGAAGTCCGCATGCTTCGAAAGGAGCTCCTCGCCATCTTTGACGTTCGAGAGTTCTCAAAACAAGGCATGTTCGAGAACCCCTGCGGGAGCGTCAAATTCCCGCAACTGGTCTGCTCCGGGTGCACGTTATCTCGAGATCTCGATCTATGCAAAGATGAGGATATCATTCCGACTGCGAAGGGAGAGGTGGGGGCGGTGGAGGGTGAGTGGAAATGCCAGCACTGTGGAACGGGGTTTGATAAGTTGAAGTTGGAGGAGGAGTTGGTGGGGAGAGTGTATAAAGCAGTTACGAGGTATAATACCCAGGATTTGAGATGTGTCAAGTGTAAGACGTTGAGAGCGAATGAGTTTCTGGAGCATTGTGGGTGTAGTGGGGCGTGGGAGGTAGCGGGGGTGGAGAGAGAGGAGGTGATTGAGGAGGTGATGTTATTCGGAGGGGTGGCGGGGTATTATGGATTGGGGATGTTGGAGGCTGTGGTGGGGGAGGTGTTGAAGGGGATATAGCAAAGCCCGTAAATTGAATTTTCAAGTTTATCTGTTTCTGGGTTTTGGTTTATGTGGTGTTGTAGTGTCGTCTGTTGATGCATATGAAATACCCTTCGGTTAGGTTATGTTGGTTCAGGGTATGTTAGATTGATAGGACTCATGCGGGGAATAAATATACCACTCACCAGACTATTCTACCACAAGCCGTTATTTTATACTTACGCAGAAAGCATCGCTAATCTGATTCCACATCCGATCAAGCTTGGTACACCCTCAAAACCAGCAAAGTGTGTGTGGGGGGGGAGTTGACTCTACGAGTGGTTGTGCAGCCAGGCTAGGTTTAACTGCCTCCGCCCCTCTCAACGCAAGCTGTTATCCTGAACTTACTCTGCCGAAAAATTCAATTGGGTTTTGTCTGGTGGAGCTTGGCTCACCCCCTCAAAGCAGGGGATAAGGGGAAGGAGAATTGAGTGTGTTGCTTCTTCCCCCCCCCCTGTCCATGCCCAGCTAGTATTCTTTATTTGTGCCAGGCATATGGTTACCCTGAACTCTTTGCTCATTACACTTTAGTTTGTATTTGAGGTCTATAAGCGCTAATCTGATCTCCGTAGGGAAGATAAAAAACAAAAAAAAGTAAAAGAAGTTACAAGCTTAGAAAAAAGGGGGAAAATAAATGTACATATGTATTAGACATACATATCCGGGGGGAGGGGTGAACGGGGGAAAAGAAGAGAGAACTGTCGCGAAGCAGAGCCGAGTTTGGCTGACGCCCTCAGAATAGAGGAGAGGAGGGGTAGTCTCGCTGATTCCCCTGGTCCAAGTAGTGTCTAGACAGTGTGCCCCCTATAAAAAAAGCTAAAAGCCAACAGAAAAATAGATGCTGCTGGGCAGCAATACAAAAAGGCACAGTGGTCTAATGGTATGACGCCTGCTATGTAGAGTCCTGCTGGTTCTAGGCAGAGTGTGGGGGATCTGGGTTCAATTCCCAGCTGAGCCATTATCTTTTTGCTCCTGCAGCACTCTAGACTCCATGGTATCTTACCTTACGGAAGGAAAACTATCAACCATATCTCTACGAGAGGCCGGCGCCCACCAGACTAACCATACTTGTCTTCTTGAGTCATCTCGCCAATTTGCAGCCTGGTTGCAACATTAATATGCTCGCTCTATTCTTCGTTTGACAGTTGTTTCGTGACTACCGCAGTTGCGGAGCAGATTACGGTGATACCACCAATCTGGCTGCATTGAGCATAGAACGTCTCGAACGGGCTTAAAGGAAGACAAGTTAGGGACAAGGAGGTGGAAAGTGTAGTCGTGAAATAAAATCCAGTATGCATACACTTCCTGGCTGATCTTTTCACAGAAAAGGTCCGGTGGTCTAATGGTATGACTCCTGCTATGTATTGTCCTGCTGACTGAAGGCAGAGGGCGGAGGATCTGGGTTCAATTCCCAGCTGGATCATTATTTTTTTGCCTCCGCAACACTCCTGACTCTGTACTGTCTTATCCTACTACCTTCCATACTTGCCTGTTTCCTGAATCCTGAAGCCACAATAGTCTGTTGGCAAAGCCACAAGCAGACCAAACAGACTACAAACAGACAAGAAGCCTTTCACGCTGTTATCTTGCCAATATGTAGTCTGGTTGCAACGCCAATATGAACCAGACTAGCAATATGCAGTGCTCCCTTCGTTTGAGAGTTGTTTCGTGAACACTGCCACTACGAACTAGACTACCATGATACGGCCTGTCTGGCTGCATTAAGTAGCCTCTAGGAGAGGCGATAGTATGAGCTGGAGATGCTGCCCACCAGACTACCCAAGATGTAACATCGACCTCTGCCCGATTCGGTGTCTAGACACCAATATAGTAACCAAACCTCAATAAAGTCTGCCCTTAACACCACTCGAGCGAGGTAAAAGGCAACGCAAGAATACGTATTGCATGTTAGTAACATAAAAAGGCATAGTGGTCTAATGGTATGACACCTACCATGTAAATGTCCTGCTGGTCTTAGGCAGAGGGTGAGTGATCCGGGTTAAACTCCCAGCTGGCCCATTAATTCTTTTTTTCCCGGGGGAAACGATAATGAATAGCATTATTGAATTCCGAGTCGTCAAGAGTCTTTGGGTCAAGAATAGTACTAAACCTCTACCCAAACACCTTCCACGGTCTTCACTAGCTCCTCTACACTTCTAGACGCAAGATTTGGCTCATTAGCTACGTCCTATGATACTTCTCTTTACCTAGCTTTGTCTGCAGGATCGCAAATAATACCGCAGTTCAGCTGCAATCATATATCCGAGTAATTTGGTTAGCTTACAAGACATTTTTTTTTGGCAAGAGGCTATACAGATAGACTCTCGTGACACAGCTACTAAGCCTAGCAAAGTTACATGTATGAAAAATGTAAAGTACACAATCATGTGTATGTACCTAGGGAATAATTTTCCCCACATTACCCTGTTTTTCAGGAACTATCCATGTGCTTCAAAGAGGTGTGCCTGGTCTATATTGTTGTATAGGAAGTATTCTTGAGGAATATGGATTGATCAATTATTGCACTGTGTGTACGAGAAAACTACTTCGCAAGGTTTTATGCATATGTACTGTCTTGGTTACAATAGGCGAGGAGCTAGAGAAGGTCAAAATCAAACATGTATGGCAACCCGAAAGGTAGTCTGGTTGGCAACAAGCCCCTCGTAAGAGGCCCGAAAGGGTCCTGATATGTGGGAAAATGTGATTGCACATAATGTTACCCTGAACTCCAAGGAAACTCACATACAGGAGTCTACAGTTATACAACTGTAACCATACTGACTACTGAGGCTCATGAGATACATGACTATTGAAGCTACGTTTTCACTCATTGAGGTTCTAAGCTCCAGAGAGGGGGCGGTAGGTAAACCCTTGATGGGATCGATAGAACTTTCTGAGAATATTAGTGTGCTAATAAACCCTTTTTATAAAGCGCCGACTGGCTATTTCCATGTTTAAGGCAAGCTACAACTGGAAAGCCTGAGTACAGCTACAACTGGAAGGCCATTTAACCTAGATATGTATATACTCTGATGCATCTGGGCTTAGTAGGACAGCAATTCTTTACCTATCATTCTACTGCATACCCCCTACGGGATTTGAAACTACTTGGTAGATATGCCGAGAATATAAGTAGTTTTATGAAAATTCTTTAATGAATAAAGCAACTAACTAATAGGATCTTTTACTTGAGGAGGAAGTTAGGAGCGAGACTGGGATAGTGGGGCCGTTTATGCTGAGCTTGAGAGCGCTATAACTAGACTGAGGGGCTTGGACCAACCGCGGTCAGCGCTGGGGGCACGGTATCGAGAATAGGAACATGTGATTCGGTGTTGGAAACTGTAATGCTACAAGTCCAGTATATATTTACTATCCTTGTGGATCCCTTCACAGAAAAGGTCCGGTGGTCTAATGGTATGACTCCTGCTATGTATTGTCCTGCTGGCTGAAGGCAGAGAGTGGGGGATCTGGGTTCAATTCCCAGCTGGACCATTATTTTTTTCCTTCCGCAACACTCCAGACTACATGTTGTCTTATCCTACGAGGCTAACTAAGCACCTTCCATACTTGTCTCTTCCTAATTCTCAGATCCACAAGCAAATCACCAAACACAATACAAGCAGATAAGAAGTACCCCTCACGTTAGCCTCGAGTCCCTCACACCTCGGCCTCTGCCTGATTTGGTGTCTAGACATCAATAAAGGAACTAAACGACAATAAAGTCTACGAGAACATCTCGTGCTTCACAGAGCGCCTCGAGCGAGCTGAAAGGCAACACAAGACTACGTCTTGGAGGTCAGTAATACCAAAAAGGCACAGTGGTCTAGTGATTCTCGGCCGAGCCATAGTCGAGCCATTATTCTTTTTTTATTTGGTTTTTGGCGATATGGACGGCACATAGTACTACTGCTAAGGGAATGCAGCTGGATTCTTTTGGCTAGAAAGCGATACCTGCTCAGCGCTTTAGGAGACTGAATGGAGTCTCATGTTTGCTAAAGTGGGGAAGAATGAATCAGAATAGAGAAATGGAGACAGGCCGCTTAACTCGTCGGCTTCATCTCAAGGTAACTGGAACTTCCTTCTATCCAGCCCTAATGTTGTGAGTCATTGGAGGGTTATGGAGTGGTAATAACTGATCCTCTATCTGATCAAGCTTTGCCTCCCCCCACTAGGTAGTAGTCTACATGATGTTACCTTTAACTTTCACTCTGCCAAATCCTGAGCTCACGTTCATGAAATTGCTCTGTTTTTACACCAAAACCACCCCATCTGGCAAGATTGCCAAATCTCACCACAACCCCAGATATTAAGTAGATACTGGTCAGTAAACTTCTAGCTTTACGCTGCGTATGAGGACGTAAAGGAGATATTGAGGAGGATTAGGCCTAAACCCAGCCTCTGTTAGCTGTCGCTACCCACGCAGCCTCAATGTATAGCAACTCACGAGCTTTCCCTGTGCGATAACATGGCAAACCCCTGTGGAGGGTCCTTAAGCCCTTATCTGATCTTCAATCTCATCAGACTTTGGCACCCCTCAGATTGCCCCTTGCCCCCCTTCTCTCCCTAACGCGAGAGCTATAGCTCTATTCATTGCCTAACAATTATTGCACTATACGTACGAGAACACAATTCTTGTAGAGCATATTTGCAAGGCTTTATGCGGCTTATGGTAGGGGTACACTGTTTTATTCTCAATAGATGAAAGGCCAGGAGAGGTCAAAATTAAACATGGATTAGTATGTTTAATGCTCATTTCGTTACCCTGAACTACAAGGAGTGTGGCCGGCCATTCACGTATCAGAATTCTATTGACTGAGGACTGTGATAAGCGACAAGTACCTGTGTGAAGGAAATCTACTCTGATAAGTCTAGTATATATTTACTTTCTGACGAATCTCTTCACAGAAAGGTCCGGTGGTCTAATGGTATGACTCCTGCTATGTATTGTCCTGCTGGCTGAAGGCAGAGGGTGGGGGATCTGGGTTCAATTCCCAGCTGGATCATTATTTTTTCCTTTTGCAACATAGACTACATGCTGTCACCTACTATGCTTATCTGTCCTTGAATTCTGGATGCCACAAGCAAACCTCAACCAGACCAGACTACCTAATATTAGCCTCGACTCCCTCTAACCAGACTAGACACCCTCAAACTTCCGTCTCGCCAATATGCTCCCAAACCTTTAGTCTGGTTGGCACCCAAACCTTCGCTCTATTCTTGTGCTCCCTCCGTTTGACAGTGGTTCGTGACCACCGCCTCTTCGAACCAGACTGTCGTACTCCCAGTCTCGCTGCGTCAGGTAGCATCTCGGGGGATGATTGAGTCAATGAAGCATAAAGTAGAAATGTAATCTCGACCTTTGTCTGATGCGGTATCTAGACGCAGATACTAAGATAACAAAACTACAAAAAGCCGCGCCTGGTACTTCCTATAGACGTCTCAAACTAGCTAAAAGGCAATACAGGACTACGTGTTACATGTCAGCAATACAAAAAGGCGCAGTGGTCTAATGGTATGACTCCTACCATGTATTTTCCTGCTGTTAAAGGCAGAGGGTGGGGGATCTGGGTTCAATTCCTAGCTGAGCTATTATTATTTTTTATTGTTTGGGTTTGGTGATATGCAAGAGACTGTAACACTATTGCCAAAAGGATCTATATGTATAAAATATATAGATTCTTTTGGTTAAAAACCTATATCTACTTTAGGGGCTTAAGCTTTTACTAAAGCTAAAAGTAAAAAGAATAAAACTAGTTTAAATAAATAAATATAATAAAAAAATAGGTGTATTAATTTATTAACTTTATTTTCTTCTATATAATATAATTAAAATAAATAAATTAAGAGTTTTTAAGATAGTATTTAAACTTTTACTTAATTAACTATAAAAAAAGTTATAAGTTTAGTAGTAGAACAAGTTTAGTATATAATATCATAATTATCTCTAGTTTTTAATATTTATAGCTAGTTAGTAGTAGTTAACTAAAGGTAAATTAAAATAGTAGATATAGTAATAGAAAGTAGATTCATATACTAGTATTATGATAGGGAAAAAAGCTAGTATTACTAATATCAAGACGAGTATAAAGGGAATACTTTCTTTCAAAGAATAAGAGAATGAATAAATATATATTAATTCTAAGTATTTGGTATCAACGTTGAATATATTATAGAGAGAGGTTCAATTACCCTGAACTTCGCGTAACTTCAGGGTAACCTTATTGGTAATTTATGCGACTAGCTTCACCGAATAGGATACTTTTGCGTGCGCCTGAACCTTTTACTCTATATAAATATACATATATATATTAATAAAAGAACAACTGCTCACATCTTATCTTGATAGCAGTATCTTGCTGACAACCTGTATCGATATCCTGAAGTATTTTTTCTATATCATCAGGTGGTAGTACATATTTCATCTTGCGGGAAGCATATGCATACAGGATATTTGTCTTACGTATGACGGCCGACATCAGGAGCAGCACAAACCCGGGCCTCAATTTTAGAAAGAATAGATGAGTATATAAATAGTCAACGCCGTATATATAGTTGCATAGAGGGGTTTTTTGGAGAAATTTATCTAGAGATGAGTGTTAAGATGGCTGTATGTAGCTAGGATCTTTCAGTTGTTATTAGAAAGATTTCCCGTATAGGAGTACTTTACAGCTTTTGAGCTTAAAATTTTTGTTGACTAGGATAAATTACTAGTTAGATTAGATGCCAAGCTTAAACTCTACTTCTAGTAATTTTATAACTTTTTTTGACTGATAAATATATATCTTGCTATATTATAATCCGAGTAGTAGCTCACACGCATCCTTATCTACTTCGCCTAAGAAAATACCATATATCTTATAAGCCCCAAATATAAGCCTACTTAGCTCAGAACTAATTGAGATATTCCTAAATCCCTATTTGACCAGTTACAGTAAAGAATATAAATCTGAGGATCCAATAGGAGCTAGCTTGACACAGCATTTCTGATTGCCCACAAGGGGGTTACATAATAAACCAGTAGCAGGGAAGTATCAAGCACCAAGCGAAGTGTTATATTGAGCTTTTTAAACAGGAATAGAATATATTTTACCCCAGGAATGGGTTCTGACCAGGATTTCCATTTTTCCTCCGCCATCGAAGACGAGTGAGTGTTAATACTTTGTAGATGGGGCTTAGTATATGATCGGGCAGCGGCTTCATGGAACAGTTGGTCCATATTACGGTGTCTCTTTCTCTCAACTTCGAGGAATTATTGCTGTTATACCTTGGTAACTACTTGGCAGAATTTGTTGACGACGCATCGAGAGGTTTCGTATGGTATTTGAATTAGAGCCTCCCGCGGCTTGGACCCAATATGCGAAAAAGTCAGTCCAGCGTGTCGTCGTCAAAGCCACTGGCCAGTCAACCAATAAAGACCAGCTATTAAAAATCATCTCAGTTTTCACAAGCGATGCCACCAACGCCTGCCAGGCCACTGAGGGAGTTTGATGGGCTTGGAAAACCGGTAATTCAGAATCTAGTTTTATCGACCATGAGTAGGCTGCAAAAGCCAGCAACTTTGTCGATAGTCTCGGACGCAGCGCGAGTGCCCACCCACTAGAATAAGAAACTAAACCCAACGTGTTGGCACTCACTACCTACTATGATAATCTGGTATATTCGTTTATGCTAGTCTGGTTGCACGACCCTCCTCCTGTGGGAGGGTCGTGCAACCAGACTACGTTTATACCAAGTTCTAGGAATTTCGTGAAAAAGGTTCGATCAATCTAGGCGGGATGCATGACGTCGATCGATCGATTTGGTCATCAGTTTGTAAAATCAAATTTAACGTCCTATTAGCAAACGACTCACCCCCTTGACATATAATGCAGGATCATCCTTTACTACTTTGCTTCCTAAGCTGTCCATGCACAATTTAACTAGTACCTTTAATCTGTGAAATAGAGCACATTTCCAGGCAGTGGTATCGCCAGACACATAGAACTCTTGTTCTGATATCCCTCTTTGCAAAAGAAACAATCCAGCGAACCCCTCTCAAACCCCCTCATGAGACCATTGAGATAGTAGATTGTGAACTCTGCCATCCGATATGACACTAATACAGGAACATCCAGCTCCCACTCTAATCGCCTCTTGTTCAGCATCTGGAATCCCCTTTACTTAATCCTGCATTCATTTTTCCAACTGTAGTATCTTCTCCCTGAGATCATTCCACTACAGAATTCCATACCTGTTCTTCTGGAGGGGATTTTCCCTCTCGATAATCATGCTTAGGCTGGAGCACAGGAGTCGTAGGTATTGCCGGTAAAGCCTGTCTCAACCACACTCATCAATCCAGAAATATGGGGCGCAAAGCTCCAAAAGCCGCTTTCGTATTTGTGCAAACGTCATGCTCCTATGCACGGACTATGTTAATTCCATGTCCGAGGCCCAGCTGTGGGACACTGCCCAGAGGGCTATTGAAGTGAAACCAAACATTAGGTAGGTTCGGGGAGAAACTGGAATGGGATTACTCAGTTACTGCCAGAGCCCGAATCCGGCGGGGCCACGCCTGTTAGCCATGTTTGATTAGCTTGAAGCTAGATTGTAAGTGGGGTTTTTGGCGGGTACGTCGCTGTAAATGTCTTCACTCCTGACAGGAACGTCAGTTTTTAGTATTGAATAGTCTTATATGAAAGAATCAGGCTGTAGTGCTAGATTAGAGTGAACAACCCAATACCTATACCCGTCAACCTAGTCGCTTAATTCAAGCAGTAACTATGTCTCTATGGCTCCACACTAATATGAAGTTGTAACTATTCCTGGGACTCTGCCTCTGATCACATGGCCTGTGATCCATGATGCTCCAGAATTACTTCATTCTAACGATATATGCATTTTTTCCACCAGCGGTTTGAGAAGGGCTGTGATGATAAGGCAGGTTTGTATGTATGCCTTGTTCTTCTATTCATGTCTATCTCTGTGGAATCTTCCCGTCCATCGCTGAGAAACCCGAGCTTTATGCTTAAGGTTCTCGAAGGACTCTTCCTTCCTCATCAGGAGTGGATAGTGCTTTCACCTCCCCCTAACGCGTAACTACATTAAACCAATGAAAACAATCAATAGAAACACCTCTCCCATTTTTGGCCTAGCAATTCATACCAGTAGAATGAATGAAAACAAATAAGGGCAATCATAATAAAGCAAACTTAAGCAATCAAACACCTCCCCCACTTTTGGCCTAGTTCATTTCCTCTTTCTCTTCCCAGCTTCGATTGTGACGGTACCTAGTAACTCAATAAGTATCATGACAATAACATATCGTGTATCGTATATGGTGTGCGTAATCGCAACGTGCATGTATATATATGCGTAAACGCAACGTAGAATGTATATATGTGTGAAACGCAACGTGAATATGCGTAAAGACACAATGTGAACAATATGTGCGTAAACGCAACGTGAATGTGTAAAATACTACATACCGTCCATTTGTTTGTCCTTACTATACTCAATGCATATATGTTTATATTGGTTGTTATTGCTGTTGAAGGTGGCAACGCAAATCATGCATGTGTATTTGGTAAGGAAAAGACCCATCTTTTGGCTGTGTTTTTGAATTAAATCCCTAGGCAAAGCTTTTGTGAACATATCTGCTACCTGGTCTTTGGTTGGTATGTCGTGTACTCGAATGATACCATCCGCTGCCTGCTTTGTGACAAAACGTTGTCGTAATAAAATATGACGAGTACGCCCAGTTGATATTTCGCTATTCGCATAATTGTTTGCATTCAGGTTATCCCCCCAAAGTTGTACCAGTAGATGTAGTTGCAAATTCATACCATCAAACAAATTTTTCACATATAAGACATTATTATAATAGAAACAATAGGATAAGGTCAGATATTACCTTCAGCGTGAGAACTACGTATATGTCTGTGCAGAGCATTGTTACTGGCAAAAGTGGAGAAGCATCGAAGACATTGATGATCTTGGAAGTGCAGACCCAAACTTTTTGCATGTCTGAGGAAAGTTTCTCGAGGCAGAGGTTTGGTGAAAATGTCTGCTGTTTGTGTGGCTGTTGAAACCCATTCCACTCTTATCAGGCTTTCAGCAGCTTTTTCAGTAACGAATCTTTGTCGTATGTCGATGTGGCGTGTACGATTGTTCATAGACGTGCCATTCGCAAGGGCATTCGCATTGATGTTGTCCCCTCGTAGTGCAACGGGGATCGGTAGTTGTAAGTTAGCATCTGTGAATATATTTTTGATCCAACAGATATCTCGAGTTGTTTCAGTTGCCGCGAGATATTCAGCATCAGTTGTGGATAGGCTTATGGACTTGTGTTTCTTAGATTTCCAGATGATAGCGGATCCTCCATATAAAACAGTGTATCCATATGTGGGGCGTCGATCGTTTATGTCGTCTGCCCAGAGAGCATCAAAGTATGCTACCATTTGATTACCCCCATTAGAGCCCTGAAAACAAAGAGTAGTGTCTATTGTTCCTCGAAGGTATCGGAATATATAAAGCACACCGGGCTCATAACCTAGAACCGTGATGATAAGGCAGGTTTGTATGTATGCTTTGTTCTTCTATTCATGTCTATC